TACTTCAAAGCAAAGGCGGTGTAACCGGCTTCCCTAACAGTGCCTGAACCACCACAGAAGGTGATCAATTGTGCACAATCGCTGGCGCAATTGATCTCAATTGCCTTAGGGCAATTGCTACCCGGGCCTGACGTTATATTCTCGTTCTTCGATGTCTATGGAATACAGAGTAACGTGATTGCGTTCGTACATCAACATGTTATATTTCCGACCTCCTCAGAATGGATGTAGCTGCCTGCCAGGCAGCTGCTCCTGCCTAAACTAGCAAAGCTTTGCCGAGCCGCGTGGAACCGTGCAGCTGATCATGGAATTTTTACTTCTCAGAAACTCCTAGTCAAAATCGTTGTTACTTAAAATACAGCCAAAACACGGCCTAATACAGTATGATCCCACCATTGTCTGATGTGAATAATATTGTGACGAAGTCTCTACACCTCACTTCAAGAGCCGGAAAAGGCAATCCAACGGATACACCCTCTGGTACTTGGGGTGGAGGCGGCAGAATCCACGGTGGGTTAACGGAAACTCTTGTGACCAATCAGAAGTGGTGAAAGTCAGGCCCGTGTAAGAGTCAGGCCCGTGTAGCCAAAACGTCAGGCCCGTGTAGCAATTGCCATGACATTATCGGTAATAAGTTGGTCAGGTCAACTTGGATGCAGGCAGCTGACGATAAACAGGTGACTTTGTATTTGGAGAAAATTTCAGTTGCGTGACTGAATGGAATCGCGGCTTCTGGGATACCGTCGTCTCGGACTCGGTAAATCATGCAGCAATATTCAACCTAGTGGCCCGATCACGAGTCCTGCAGCCATTTTTGTTCATGATAATGCCACCGCGCATCGAAGAGGTGCACCGACTATTTGGTGAGATTGTCAAGCAAAAGGTGCAAAAGTGCGCCGAAAAAGGCAGAGTAGGAATGAAAAATTTGTTGGCGAGAGCTCTACAACAACCATGCTACGATCAAGACTACGTCCACGAGCAGGCAAAAGCCTTCATTGGTGCTGGCTCTGAGACGGTCGCAACGTCTCTGACCGCAGCTACATACTTCTTACTTAAAAACCCGACGAAGCTGCAACTTTTACGGCAAGAAATTCGGTCCAAGTTTTCGTCTCACCTCGACATTACAGGACACTCGACCAGTGGGTTAAGATTCCTGCGAGGCGTTGTGGAGGAATGCCTTCGGCTATTCCCACCTGGCCCTTTCCCTCTCCCGCGCATATGTCGAGGTGCATTTATTAGCGGCCATTATATTCCAGCAGGCACAGTTGTATCCGTCAGCCCATTCGTTACAGCGCGTGATCATCGCAACTTCCATAACCCGGACGAATTTTGTCCGGAGCGCTGGATAAACGAACCATGTAGGGACAATACGAGTGCCAGCAAGCCTTTCTCTACAGGACCTCGCGGCTGTCTTGGAGTCAGTCTTGCATATCTCGAGATGAGGCTAGTGCTATCAAAACTAGTGTATCTCTTTGACTGGGAATTGGCCAGTGATATAGATTGGATGCATGATGTGCGGGAAGGGATCGTATGGCAAAAACCTGCTCTGGTGGTTCGTTTCTTGCCAAGGGACGTGTAGAAGTCGTGTGACAAAAAGAACGCTCTCTTTGCGGAGCAATTATTCATTCATTCATTTATTACGCCCGGTGGAGAAAGTCCAATAGGGCAACTATAAACCTATGGCACATGTACATTCTGGAATTTAACCTTAATCTCATTGAAGCTCATGAGCCCTTGTCATCCAATTTCTGTTCCTACAATTTGTTCCCTTGTGTCACTACGGTTTCTCGTTTTTTATTATTCACGGCGGACTAGCTTGGAGCTTGTTCCCCAAGCGTTCAGGATCCTATCTACGGCAGCTGAAGCGGCGTCTGCTATCTGTAACACGAGGTGGTGATGGTAGTTGGGCGGTGAGTTAAGCACATAAAATAGAACTGATTCGGTGCCCAAACAGGTACGCGTGGGTGTTCGCCCGGGGCGGCAGTGTCTGCCTCATCATCTGGGTCTCGAGACGCTGCCACAGGCAAATGCCAAGTGCCTTGGTCAGGCCAGCCTGTGATCACACTATCCAGCCATAACGCCTGTGTCGAAAAATCTCGCCGATCTTAAAAGGCGTTGACTGGTTGCCGTCCAGATCTCTCTGGGATATGGGTGGTATCACGTCATCTTGGTCTCGAACCAAACGCCAGTGATCCCACGGATCTCCCAAGCCGCGATTTACGTGACGGGCAAACCCATGACGAAGCGCAGTGAAACTGTTATACATGGGCCAAAGATACTTCTCTACCAGCTATGCGTCTTCGGCCATGGCCTAGCAAACCGGTGTAGAAAACTTGATTGTTGGTTCCATTTTTGGCCTTGGTGGCATAGTATGCAAGAAGTCAAGGAAGTAGGGAAGTAGATGGTTATCCTGTCAGGAGATTAATCTAGGCAGACACCGCTGCTTCACATTCGTGGTTGGCCCGGGCCCTTCGCTAATGGACCGGGCGATTCGCGAATTGAGTATATTCGTGACTGGCCCGGAACATATTCCATTTCCGACTACTCAATAGACCTAAGTCATATACATCCAGGTCTATAATCCACTTCTTGCTTTTTAATAGATCTAAACGACATCGACCCAGCTCGATAACCCATCTTGACTACGATTGACCTAGGTTACAGAAATCCGGGTGAACAATCCACCTCTGGATACTTAGTAGATTCCGTGCTGACGACGATCATTGGATGACATAGGAATATACAAAAATAGCAATTAATGATCTGACTAATGAATTACAAGGCCAGCAAATAAGCAGTGGTTTGGATTTGTCAAAAACTGGAATGGCGCTTTAACGTTTTGAACTTTTGACAAAGTCACCGTCGACGGCATTATTTGCGTATAACCTAACTATGGTAGTCCCGCCATGATGAAAGGCAAAGCCCTGGGTGTTGTTCGAGTTCAGTGTGTCCAATAACCTAGTAAAGCAAAATATGGCCTCCTTACTCGACTTTGTTGGCTCAAGCCTTTGCTTTACTTGGTTGATCACAAAAAGTCATTGTTTGGTTGACATTACTCGACGGCTATTCCCAAAAAGGCAATTCTATGGTAAGATATAAGTCTGAAGCAGATGCTTTTGGCATTCAATTATTGCAATAGTATCTGATTGGAGACGATTCTGTTCATTAGTGATGGCCTTCTTTGTCTGTGAGAATACCTGCTCACACAGCACTTGTTGCTGGAGAATCTGAACAAATCAAATGCCATTTTGGAGAGGATCGGGCACGCCGACGGTATCGAATTAACGGCAGTGGCTTCCCGTCATAGCGAATGTAATCCCACCTAATAGGGAAATCACATTGAGAGCTCTTCGGTACCTGCCTTTCGTCATCAATGGATGGTGTAAGTGCTCCGCCACCAAGCGTCTTGGTGGGGTTGACACGGAGCTGGGCGTGTTGGATAGAGGAGTGAGTGGTTCGGAGGCAGTTGTAGGTGGAGTAGACCTGCCAATCATCCCATGCGGCCGAAAGAATGGATGTGTTGACATGGCTTCAGGCCCGTCGCAATTCTTAGCTTAGGAATTGGAGGAGAAATTTGCAAGCAACTAGGGGTACTGGGAATCACACAGCCAATCAGAGCTTGTAGACAGTTTGGATCAATCCACTATGCCCCATTCAACAATATTGTCGAGAACATCAAGTAAAGCCGAGTAATGGAGGCAGGTTGTTTTGCTTGGTTGGCCAGGAGTCCTTACTTTGCTTGGTTGACAAGTATCAAGCAATCACAACCAACCAAGTCAAGTTACTTGGTTGTTGGACACACTGTTCGAGTTCCTATGACGACCATACTCGTCACAGAAAATGCACGAATAATGTGCGGTGAAGATGACTCGCGCAATAGTAGCTGTCCCTTCGAGATGCCCACACGGCCTGATGAGAAGCAACTCGATGCCTTCATTGACGACTCAGACGTACACTTAGTTTTAGAACAGCTGGGGCTTTCGGCGCTGCAGTTGGAAATAAACAACGCGGAAAAAAGATACCCTTTCCTCGGCGATCAAGCTGTGTGGTTCACGGGGTCGCGAAGTTTTCTCACCGAAGTGCACGAATTGAACCGCACCTGAATCTAACGGTTGAATTGCACTCCGCAGATCTCATCGACGGTTCGCTTTCGGATGGACATGCATTACGGGCGGAGAGACACTTGGAGCAGCAATAAGTGACGGCCGCGGGCAGAGACGGGGACATAACAAGCGAGATGGTCAGTGTGGGCTAACTAACACCGGCGGTATAGAGCGCCAAAGGCATGCCTTAACCGCCCGGAATCGGACGAGAGCTTCTCGTCACCTCTCCCATTTGGCCACGAGTTCAAGGATTCCAGTTGCGGCGACAGGTAAAGTGGTACTTGCTACAGGCACCACGCCAGAAACCTTGCCCTGAGAGGGGCCTGCTTGATGGGTAATTTTGGCTGCGCGAAGCTATGTACACCGAATACATGTACTGTACCGCAACATTGGACGTCTTCTGACTTAAGGACAAACCCCCAGGATATGTCATCTTCAGCGATGGCTACAAGACAGAAATGGATACCGCAGGGTATGTATGGATTTGCAGTATTCCACAATGGACGCCTCGTTGATTGGGGTTATGACCAACTTGGCTGCAGAAAAGTCTGACGCAGAGATCCACGGCGCCGTAGAAGGCCTTCGACGCGCTGTACTCGCCAGTTTCGCCAACGAACCAATTACAGTCTGTATGGACAACACTTCTGTCATCGACTGCATAGGAACAACAGCATCAAACTCCTCACAGGCCTATTTCAGAGCCTTTCAGAAGATAGGAGACAAATATCCATACCGGGTATCTATTCAATGGTGCCCAGGACATAGCAACATATTCGGAAACGAGCTGGCAGACCTTCTCGCCAAGCAAGGAGCCAATCTTCCAGTTCCAGAACACCTCCCCTCAGTCTCCTACCGCAGGAGACAGGTCAAGAGTTAGATAGCCTTAGACTACCAGCAATGGTAGCAAGGAGCAGAGAGAGCGGGTTAACTCGTCGCTCGGCATGGCCGCCGAGCTGCGAAAGCTCCCTGAACTCGCTCTCCTACGCCGTCATTTGGGATATCTACTCGCTGCCCGATCACAGCACGGTGACTTTGCGGACTACCACGAAAGACTTCACCCAGGCCAGGCGACCCTGGAGTGTCCCTGCGGCCGCCAAACGTCGCCTACCCATCTCTTCTACTGCAGGAAAGTCCCTCACCATCTCCGGGCTCGGCTGACACCCGACCCTGAAACGGCGATAGGACGGATCCTCGGTAGATCCTACAAGGTTTACCTGCGCATTGCGAACTTCTACTACACGAAGATCAACAAGCGTTACTAAACCGAGAAGGCTGTACAAGCCTGGCACGCTCTGTACTAGTATCCAACCCGAGTAGTAAGCGCTACTCGTCAAACAACCCGCATTCCCTTTGTTGAGGCGTATGCCACTGATGTCAGCGCTCTCCCTGGTTCCCGCGAAAAGACCAGGCGCAATTGACTGCGAGGGAACACGTCCCCGGATAGAAAACCTCAGCAAGCATCGTGATCCCGCTGTTGGGTATCGATACTAACAGATTAACAGCCGCTGGGCGGACATCTGCTATAGTTGGAGGAATTTACATGAAGAACTGCTCATGTCACGTTATGAGACTCATTGTTAACTAAGCTTGTTCATAAAATTTATTATTGTTTTTTTTTTCGCCTCTCTGTCCTTCAGAAGGATTCATGTCATTTATCTTAAGTTGAGAAGACTTTCCAGCCTCTCAAACTCCTGATATCAATGATTTTATGACAACCAACAATTACGTCAAGTCTGCTTGTTCAATCAACAGAGGCAGCCTTATGCGACAGCTCAGGGGACTCCGTCGGTCGCGTTCTGCGGGGCTTACTAGCAAGTGGGGTTATGTAATCACTGTTGAAGACTAGCTAGCACGCCACATACCTATTCTAGGGCGCCGATAGGCGATACCAAATTCAATTCAATTCAATTAATGTCGGATTGGCGACTAACCGTCGGTCCAACGTGCAGCGACAAAATTTGTTTGCAAGATTCTGTGCTAATTCCGAAAATTCGACCATCGCACGTATATTTACTGCCCAGCACGTATGTGACATCGTGTCTGTGGGCTATTTTGTGCATGGGCGGTATTATCATCTAGTCTCGTTTCCTCCCAGGCGCCGAAGCGACGTTTCTAAGAACGACATATGGTGTATCACTGGCCGCCACGTCAGACACGGGCAGTAACATAACCCACAAGAAAAAGTTGCGGCACACCATCAGGCCATCCTACAGGCATGATGTGCATTTCACTCCTAGGCCACGGGGTAATCTACGAAGGGGAAATAAGACACAACAGCTGTAAGTCAATAGCTTCCCCAAGTGGAGATCACGGAGCAAATTGAAGAACAAGTTTCTCAAGGACGGAAGAGCAACAGGGTCAGCAAAGTATATTGACACTAAGTAGTAGTAACCCTAGGACCCTCAAAGAGCTGAGCATCCCTCTCCTTCGCAAGCGTCATTGATCTTGAAGCTGGCTTGATGCTCTTGACCCGGTAAAATGACCAGTGACGGTCTCGCTTCCACCATGCTCATTGCCGCTCTTCTGTATGTTGCCAGATGCAGGTGGTGCAGATGACGGCTGCGATATGGATTCCCGAGAAGGATGTTCTTTCCCTGTCTCTACCGCGCCAATATTAGAGGGGTAATGTGCTTGCGAGAGGGCAAAGTCTCCAGAAGATACGGAGAAAGCGCTGCGAGGAAAGCGTGAAGATATAAATTTTCTCATAGGCGAACTTACCGACATTGACGTTAAGACTGCCGGTCTTATGATGCATCTCAAACTATCGGTTATGGCTTTGGCTTTACGCAAAGAGGTGAACCAAGTCAGGTAAAACTTCACATGAAAAAGCGTTAGCGGCTTTTACAGCTTCCACCTGAGACCCCGACAACCCCAACGGTTCCAGTTGCACCATGGACCCGTAGCAAAGAGACCGCCGCATCGCGCGAAGACAGAGACGTCAGCAACCTATGCCAGGATATTTAGGTCTTCTATTTGGCCGGTAATTATGCCTGTGAGTCTTTGAAAACCCTCTATTGCGTCTTCTCGCTCTGTTTATGTTGCAACAGCCTAACTCCCTGCATAGCTCCCTGCGGCCTAAACAGTACGCTACAGCAATTGGCGGAAACTG